TTCCCCTCCCCCATTTCTGAAGAAGGGTCTAGGCCCGAAACGTCAGCTTTCCTGCTCCTCTGATGCTGCTTGGCCTGCTGTGTTCATCCAGCTCTACACCTTGTTATCTCATCATCTCTTTTAATGCAGGCAATGCTTTTGCAAGGTCCAGCCGCCAATTCTGAATTCTGTATATCATTCCATCTTTGCAGGCAAGCCAGAGATTTGAAGCTGGGTGTCTTACCACTCATGGCGCTGCTGTAGGACAGACTGTCTGCAGACCTCTGCTTTCAGCTCCAAATGCCGCTTGTCATGCTTGCTGGGTGAGATGACATGAGAAATCAGGGTATGTTTTAACCCGTTAGTGTTCCCCACGTAGCTACATAGTCAACCTAAGGGAATACCTTGGCCATAAATTGACACGGCAAGTAAAAGGAGGAGTTCCGGAAACAGTTGGATGACCTCAAGGTTGAACTCTTCCAGCTCCGTATGGCTAAAGTACCTGGAGCAGCTGCCTCCAAAAACTCATGTTGTGCAGAAGTCCAGTGCAAGAGTCCTGACTGTCATCAATCAGCCACAAAAGGAGCACTTGGGAAAATTCTACAAGGGCAAATTTGGATTGCTGACCCAAGAAGCCTGCACCATGCGTCGTCGACTCAACAAGTATGAGGGGAGCTTGAAGACCTAGAAACTGCAACTGAAAGAGCGTCTGCAGCCAATGAGCAAATTTGTCGCAAAACATAAATGTTCTGCCATAGAAGATATTAAATTTAAGAAAAGAAAGACCAGTTGGACACACTGTTGAATCTGACAGCAACAAGAAATGCACCATCATTCCCCGACCATGTGGGTACTGGTCAAAGGAGCAATTTCACATTGAACAGGTGCCTCCAGGTTCACTGGGTATGAGGAGCCCTACATAGGTACAATACACCAGGTCTTCCCTCCCCAACAACAAGGCTTCTGTGTGATATCTGCGGTGGGTTGAATCTGACCTCAGTCTGCAAAAGCCCTCAACCCTTCAAAAGCAGTAAACGCCTGCTTTCTGTAAACAGAGACCTTCCCTCGGAAGGTGAAATGAGCTGGTGTGGAAAGCCAGCGCCGACTCCCGGCCTTGAGGTGAAGCCCAGTGTGGGCTCCCTGCTTTAAAAAAACTGTAATGCTGAACTTTTACCTTTATTTCTTCAGTTTTCTAATTTATACCTCAGCTTTTGTACCTACGTACCTTTGTACCCAAGAAATGGTGACTTTGTACACTTTTCGGTGTACTCATGTACCCTTGTACTTGAGTACTTGTGACAATAAACCTAGTTCTAATTCTAACGAGCTGGGAATTAGGTACTGATATCATGGCTCACAGCATTAAACAGAAGCAGGCTGGAAACCTCAGCTTCCCTTCAAATAAATGAAGTGCACTAGAGCAGAGAGCAAAATGTTGTAACTGCCATGTAATAGGTCTGCTCCAATGCAGCCTAATGGGCCAGTTTAAGAATCTCTTGTGCCTGAGTACAAACCTACTAATGGTTGAAAGATGAGTTAATATCATTAGTTACCAGGCACTCAGAGCACACGCCTGTGCCAGATCTGAATCAATATATAGCATTTAATGTCCTTGATCTTTCCCAGAGGCAGGGTCAGATGTTGGTGTATAGTTTTACCATTGATCTCTAAAGTATTTTATTCAGGACTCCTTGCGCTGCTGGATAGTAGCAGCAGGTTATTAGAGCAGAGGGTACCTTCACAGCAGAGCCTGACACTTCTCTAACCTGATGTTCATAGACGTATTTTCTAGCAAACATGATTGGACCTAAGAGAGGGAACAATGACTGAACTGCTTCTAAACCTAGAATTAACTAGATAGGATTTCTTATGACACAGTGTAGTGTCCCTACCTGTGGGCTAGAAGGTCAAAATTCACATTCCACCTGACCTGGAGGGGCTGACCCAGCACTTCAAACAGATTGATTAAAAATGATTTACAATTATAGAGACTGCCATATGCACCACTTCTGTGTCAACAGCAAGTGCTGGAGAAACTCAGCAAGTCTGGCAGCATATGTGCAGAGAGAAAGAGTTTACATTTCAAGTCCAACGCGACCCTCCCATTCTTCTGAAGGTAAAAGTAGCTATGTAAATGCAACGGAACTCTACTCTTTCTGAACTAACTGTCTTTACCACCTGTGCAGTTATTTGGCACTGACACCATTCTGTATGATTACAATCCCATCCAATTTTTGTTCAAGGGATTTTAACAGAAAGGTAACCAGACTAATTTCAGTAGCCAGTAGATGATTGGATTCAGGTCAGGCGTTGAAGATGAAAATGCCCCCTTCCCCAGTCTCCTCTTCAGGTAGTGAAAGGATGTTAAAGCAAGAACATTTACCTTCACAGACCGGGCAGCACTCTCCCTCGGGTACATAGTACCTGTCGCAGTGCAGCTCTCCGCACTGTGCTGAGAAACAAATCGAGACACCACCTTGACACCTACAGAAACGGCACGCGTCCATCCGGAACATATTCCCGTCGTAATATTCCACACCATTGAATATGCACGTGGGCTTTGTCTCTGTAACAGAAGAGCAGAGAAAGAAAACTCCCATTAGACCCCATTACCTACAGCTGCATTTAAGAACAAGCTATATAAAGAAATAATAAAGAATAATTAGAAGGATATGCACAGCAGTAACACAGCATGGACATGCTGGGCCGAATGGCCTGTTTTTAAGCAGTAAATATGTTATAAAGTTTGTTATTCTTTCATGGGATGTCAGTGTCATTGGCAAGTACAGCATTTGTTGCCCATCCCTTGGCAATTCCTGAGGACAGTTAAGTGTTAACCACATTCTCTGGGTCTGGAGTCACATGTAGGCCAGACCAGATAACATGGCAGGACTCTTTTCCATTAATGAACCAGGCGGAGTTTTATTGCAAACAATAATAGTTTCCATGGTGGTTGTCAGCACCCTTAGCTCTGCACTCACCCCTTCTCTTCCCACCCACAATAGTGATAGGGTCCCCCAGGTCCTCACTTATTATCGCATCAGCATCCATAGCCCAGAGAGTCGTTAGTAACCGTATCCGCCACCTCCAGTGGAATTTCACATATTCCCATCTCCTCCATTTGTCAGCCTTCCGCTGGGACAATTCCTTTCGGGATACCCTGGTCTATTCTTCCTACATTCCCATGACCTTCCCACAGCCCCATGGCACCCTCCTGTGCAATCGCAGAAAGTGTAACACCAGCCCGTTTACTTCCTCCCTCCTCACTATCCAAGGCCCCGGACACACCTTCCAGGTGAATCTAATCTACTGTATTCTCTGCTCACGATGTGGGGTCCTCTACATTGGGGAGATAAAATGCAGACTGGTTGACCGCTTTGCTGAACATCTACGTTCTGTTCGTAAAAATGACCCTGAACTTCCAGTCACCTGCCACTTCAACACCCCAGCTTGTTCCCTGGCCAACATCTCTGTGTCGGGCTTGCTGAGAAGCTCAGCACAAGGTGGAAAAACAGTACCTTGTTTTCCGCTTGGGAACTCTGCAGTTTTCAGGACTCAATATCAAGTTCAACAAATTTAGGGCCTGAGCACCTTCTCCCATATCTTTATCCCAACTTCCACACACCAGGCCTTGTCGTCACATGGGCTGTTATCACAACTAACCCATTGTCAGCTACTAATGGTCCCCATTAGCAGCTACTGATTCTCCCAGGCTGACCTTTATCTATTCCTTTGTCCACTCAACTATTTTTTTCTCTCTCTCTGGGCCATCTCCACTTATTATTTACTCCTGACCCCTCTCCCACCTTACCTTCAGCATATATATTAACCTGTTGCCAGCTACAATGAGTTCTGGAGAAGGGTCACTGGACTTGAAACGTTAACTCTGATTTCTCTCCACAGATGCTACCAGACCTGTTGAGATTTCCAGCAATTTCTGTTTTTGTTTCAGATTTTCAGCATCTGCAGTTCTGTTGTTTTTTTTGTTTAGTTTTCAGATATGTTTACAGCAGAGTGTAAACTCACAGATGTTTTCTATCGACCGATGTGAGCTTTCAAGAGGGGCTGACAAAAATAGCACCTCTTTGCTCTTCATGGAGCCACTGATGGCTGGGTGGGAGACTAGATGAAGATAAATTTGCGGCTGCAAGCTGACTTCACACAAATTGCAGTCCCATTTCTGGTAAGCCACACTTTGTGCATCACTCTCCAACTTTTACATTCAGACTTGGAGGGGTTGCTGGTTCTGAAAAACCCTCTTAGCCTTGGCTTCCTCCCGAGGACATTTAACACCAGGGCTGTCTCACCTTGTGGTTACAGAACTAAAGCTGACTCCTTTATCCTCCAGTATAATGTTCCCATCGTCTTTATACAGGGTACAGTGGCGATAAAGCTGTAGGTTTGTTGTAGCAAAAGGCTGTGGACCAGAGTGTCTATGTCGGCTGCTATCAAATCTACAGACATTGGGAAAGTCTTTCACATGAACATCATCCCTCCAAAAACACAGGAAACACGCACACGCACACAAACACACACACACAATGCACACAAACACACACGCGCGGACACACACATGCGCACACAAACGCACACACACGCACATACATACAAACGCACACAGACACACACGCAGACACACACATATACTCACAGCCATACACGCACATGCAAATGCACAATTCTAACTAAAATCTAAAGTGTTAACAGTGGGAGTTGGACAGGGTAATGATTGGTAGATCTCACTGTCTGTGTTATCTGGACCCGGGCTTCAGAGAGTTCTGGGAGCTGCGAATTACACACAAGCTCTGAGTGCTCCCTGGAAAATGAGCACAGAAATGCATGGTTCCTTGCCTGTGGCTGCAAACCATTTGCATGTTTGAAGAGTGGAAGCCCTTGAGATTCACAAATACCAAGACATCCAGTGGCTACAGGAGTGAGTTCATGACCCCTTGTACTGTTGGGAGAAAAGCAATGGTCATGAAGCCCCATGAAGCCTTGCCATCTCATTGTCCTCATCAATGGAGTAAATGGTGTATTCATTCGCACAATGGAATAGGTGCAGCTATGAATGGCAGCATGTTAAATGCTGTCTGTGGAGCCCAAGAAAAACATCAACAGTGGAAGAAACTAGGAGTTGCAATTGCTTTGGGCTTTGCTGCTAATCTACGTGGCTGCAGGTCTTGCTGCAAATTCCCATATATTTCAGTACACTTCCCAGGAGAGTTGTCTCAGGGTTTGTTTCTCTGACAACTACAGGTATTAGTCCTTGCCCTAAGGCCATGGTGAACTGCCAGTACATACCTTCTATCTACCATGCCTTTCCTGGACAGCTGTATCTTAACTGGCTGAAATTGACTGCAGCAGTATGTAAATAAAGAATTAAAAGCTTGACTATCTGAATGATACAATGCCCATGGCACTCTACATTTAGTGTGGGCCGTCCAGCAGCAGTGCTGGCCGTTTTAAAGACGAGCATGGCCGAAAGTGGGCGCTACATTCAAGGGTTGCCCTGTGTTTATCAGAGCCACACCCTCACACAAGGCACCACCCACCTCTCATCACTGCTACTTCCTTCCACACTGCCCACCTCACAGAACCTGACCACCCCAACACTCACCCTGGGCACAGTACCTGGACCAAGTGGACTGCCTAAGGAGGAAAGGCTGGATAGGCTAGGCTTATATCCTCTGGAGTTTATGAGGGTCAGAGGTGACTTGACTGAAGCATATAAGATCCTGAAAAGACTTGACCAGGTGGACGTGGAAAGGAAGTTTCCTCTTGTGTGCGAGAATCTAGAATGGGGGGTCATATTTGAAAAGTAAGGGGTCGCCCATTGAAAATTGAGATTTGAAAACATTTTTCCTCTGAGGGTTGTGAACCTTTGAAGTTCTCTTCCTCAAAAGGCAGTAAAACCAGAATTTTCAAATTTTTTTTTAAGGCGGACAGAGATAGAATCTCGGGTTCCAAAGGGATCAAAGATTATTCAGTACATACAGGATTGTAGCGAGGTTAAAATCAATCTGCTGTGTTCTTACTGAATGGTAGAGTAGGCTCAAAGGGCCAAGTGGCCTACTCTTGCTCATATGTTTGTACCTTCAGGGCCATCAGGAACTTTAACCAGGAACTTGAACTTTCTGGCCCAGAGCTACAGACGCTGCCATTGTGCCACATGACCCTTAATTGACCACGTTTTTGCAAATGCTATGTGCATTTTGACGGAGTGCCTTTAATTTTGCTTTTTTTTAAAAAACGTTATTCTTGATTTTGCTCCTGTTTGCGCTTGCCTGTGCTTCATCTGTTTTCCATTTTCGGTTCCTATTTTTCTACTTCCTTTTACCGTTTTACTTCCCTCGAACCTGAGCTCCCTCTCAAGTTCAAGGAAGAGACAGCATGTGTTTACTTCAGTAATTTGTGCTTCGTTTATCTGAGTTCAGCTGAAATTTCTTGTCCCCAGGCAGTTAGCTACTGTAGAACTGAGTCAACAATGATTGCTCCTGTTGAAAATGCTTTAATAGACTCTGTTACTAAAAAGACAAAACAAATCAGAAGTCAATAGTCCAACAACACTCCCCCAAATAAAAACCATTATTCAGTCTGTCTCATGCTCAAACTTCAACGATTGCTCCAAATGAAATCCTTTCAACGTTCTGCAGGAATTGTTGCTTTACCTGAGGCTATGGTTAACATCTTATTGATGCTGACTAAGAGCAGGTCTACAGTGGCTGTGCTGCCAAAACTTCCCATTGGATGTGGTTGGATGGATCCTAAGTACCTATGATATTAGGCAATTATTCTGAATGATAACACTACAATGCAGCAAGTTTCAAAGAAGAAGATTGTACAAGATGAGCTCCAAAGCCTTTAACTTTAAACTGAACAACAACCAATGGATCATTAATTATGCAGAAAGGCAAGAAACACATGCCTTGAAAAAAAATCGCAGTTGACGCTCAGAAGATGAAACAACTGCAGGAGGCAGGGAAATGGTTATCCTATGAGCAAAGGCTAAACAGTTGGGGCTCTACTCACTGGAGTTTAGAAGAATTAGTGGTGACCTCATTGAAGCTCACAGGATTCTTAAGGGGCTTGACAAAGTATATGCTGAGGAAATGTTTCCCCTCATGGGAAAGACTAGGACCAGGGGTGACAGTCTCAGAATTATGGAGCACCAATTTAAGACTGAGTTGAGGAGGAAATTCTTCTCTCAGAGGGTAGCAAATCTTTGGAATTCCTTGCCACAGATAGCTATGGGAGTAGAGTCCTTGTGTATATTTAAGGCTGAGATAGATTCTTGAGCAGTAGGTGAATTGAGGGTTACAGGGAAAAAGGCAGGAAAATGGACGTGCGGAATGTTAGATCAGCCTATTGAATGGCGTAGCAGGCTCAAGGGCCAAATCCAAACCCCTTGTTGTCCTTCCATCTGAAGTACTGTTCTCACCTCTCATTCAAGGCAGGAGCACTGTAAGGGGCCGCTTACTTCAGTTGGCTCGATGGCTAATGTGTGGTTCAGAAGGACAGTAAGAACAGTGGGGGTTTAATTCCCCTTTTTGCTAATGTAGACTTGGG